GCTAAAATCAAAGTGAAAGTGGGCGATCTCTGAAGAAGTGATGCACCAGCGGGCGAGGTACCAGGAATAGGAAATACATAGGTCAAGAGAGAATTTTAGAAATGTGGCTTCATCGCAGCAGCAAGTAAAGCTTCGGATCGAACATCCACGCTGATCTCATAGGGTTGGCTGTTTACTCATTTTTTAGAGAATAGTAGGTGCTGGACTTAACTGAACTTCCGCCATGGATTTTTTAAGTCGAGCTTCGTTTAGGGGAAGTTAACATCGATACAAGCATTGTATATGTATATTAGGGGGAAAGCATTTGTTGATTTACGGCAAGTGCGCTAGATGGTGTTGAAGAGGGATGAAAAGGAGGGAGGGAGGGGCGGAGGTAGGTCTTTTGCACTTTGGTGCGGTTTGGATGGCTATGGCCCAATTTTGGCTCAAGAAGTGAGTCTATTATTTGTGAGTAGATTTTGTGGGTAATTTGAAACTCGTGTCAAAATTCTTTTAATATCTGACCCTTAAAAATTCGAGTAGGCAGTCCAGAGTGACCGAAGATGATAGCTTGTTGCCAGCAGCAATCGCACTGGTGGAATGATTGATGGTACCCTCGCCGAAAGGTTGCTTTGAAAAGCAAGCTAAAAGCCGAAACGTACTTAGTTTGCTCGTACATTCCTCGCCCAAGTGCTGTTTCTTGCGGCCTTTCAAAACCGGGACATGTGGAATATTTCCCAGTTTTTGATAACCACTTTGACAAGCATCTAGGAGTGTTTTGCGGCTCACGCTAATGGGGATGATCGAGGAGATAGCGGTGATGAGCGCGTTGATATCTGGTCCCTTCACAGAGAGGTCAAATCCAGCATCATCCATCTAGTGCTTCCAGTCAGTGGTGCTGGCTGTGTTGATGTTGTTGATGAAGATGGTGATGATGATTGATACTTATTCTGTTGGCCAAGGCCTCAGCATCATCCAGAAGAAGTGTTTCCAGCCAAAACGATGTTGGCTTGCCAATAATAGCCAGTAACGGTGATAGCGCTTTAAAGCAGC